CCTTTATTACCTGTATTTATTACAAGTCCACTTTTCTCTGGTACTGCAAGTGAGAGCTAGGCAATGTATCTCCAGATGTACTAATTACACCTGTGGAACTTTAATTAGCACTTTAACTCTATTCCCTCAACCCCCCTCCCCCCCTCCCACCAACAAACCATTGAAGAAGACCTGTCCAGGTATTTGTAGATACAGGATCATATATGTTATTAAATCTACGTCTCAGTATGCAATGCATCTATAGATTAATGCATATATTTATAGCTCTGTATGTCTAGGGGATTATTCACCTAAGCATTGCATAGGTGAAATAATTAATTCTCCATCAACTGCTCCTGTTGTTCACAATATCCATGTAATAAATTGTGAACACATAATACCCATTGGGAATAATACCTATCCCTCCTCTGTCATCCAGGGTATAGGATTACCTTGTCTTCCTGGTGATCCTGGCCAGGAAAAACTCACAATGAAAAAAAACCTCACATTGGAGAAAACCTGACCATACAGACACGTCATTCCCAGCATGGGTTAAGATATAGTTTAATGATGTTGCTGTTTGATGCCTTGAGAGGGTAACCTGTCCCCAAAACTCCAGCTACATTCGCCCCACCCTAAATGCATATACCTTGAAGTAGGGCGGGCTGAACAGGGAGCCCTGGAAGCCAGGGTACTAGCGTCAAAAGGTAATATAAATCTAAAGGGTAAGCGTAAGCACTTAACTAGTATGAATTACATATGCAGAGGAAAAAATAATTACCAAATGTGCAACAATGCTTTCAATGTTGCCTAGTCAATCCTCCATATTATTATTTGAAGGATCTCATTAATAGAAAGATAATAATTTCAATAATTGTACAATGGCAAAAATAGCGACAAAAAGTAGAATAACAGGAAGAATTCCCCATAGTCCATTCTTTGCTATTCCTTTCACATAACCTACTGATCTAAAGGTCCAATCAAATTATCACAATGATGCAATCCAATGGGAGGTAAAGCAATATTGAGGCCACATAGTAAATGTTGTCTGTCTACTCTTAGGGGAGGTACACATTTTTCTATGTAAGTGAGTTCCATCCTTGTGGAATATATCCTTAGCACACTCAACATACATCAAAAACATACATTCTACATCTGTCTCTAGGCCAGCTAACTCTTCCTCTCTCACAAGCTAACTCTACAAAAATTGAAATAAAAAATAAAAAAAATGCAAAATAGTTCAATAGTTCAACTTCTGTAGTTCAGCATGGTTCAGAAAATGAAAAAATAAGTCTTTCAATGAATATAAGGAAATCATTTTGGACACCATAAATCGTTTTAAAAGAATGGCTAATAGTAGCAAATGGCCGACAACAAGGCAATGTCAGCTTCCACATAGTTCTTCCTTTTTAGTTTCTGGATTTTCACCACAATGCTTTGTGCAATACCCTAATTGTTGAAAGGGTTATTACAGAACTTGCGGCATTAGACAGCCCTTTCCTCATCATCAATTAATCAATTACCTAGACTAAAAGTTAAATCAAAACTTAAAGTTAAACCCTTAACTGGTGTATCATGTATTTGCAGAGCACTTTTGTAATGATTAGAGAAGCATTCACTTTACATAAATGCTTGATTGGACAGTATAAGTACTAAAACGCTTTCTCAAGCAAGTGAATGAAAGACTAATTCTGTACATAATATTAACATATAATTATGGGGATAATTATCAATAAAACTTGGTTCCTAAACTTAAACCTTGATTTAATAATCCCATTTAATTAATTTAATAATCTTGGATTATCTTCTAAATGATAACTTTTCAAAAACACTCATATATCAAAAACATAAAAACATTTAAATATAAAAAAAACAAAGCTTTCCAGCTTTCTGCAAGTCAGCAATTCTTAATTGTAGGTCTTCTGAGAGCTCTTTTGTGCGAGGCATCATTCACATCAGGCAATGCTTCTTGTGAAAAGCAAACCCAGAACTGGTGTGTGTTTTTTATAGGGCAGGGCAGCTGTAACCAACACCTCCAATCTCATCTCATTGATTGGACTCCAGTTGGCTGACATCTCACTCCAATTAGCTCTTGGGGATGTCATTAGTCTTGGGGTTCACATACTTTGTCCACCTGCACTGTGAATGTTTACATGGTGTGTTCAATAAAAACATGGCAACATTTCATTCTTTGTGTGTTATTAGTTTAAGCAGACTGTGATTGTCTATTGTTGTGACTTAGATGATGAACAGATCACCTTTTATGACCAATTTGTGCAGAAATCCATATCATTCCAAAGGGTTTGCATACTTTTTCTTGCAACTGTATATAAATAATTGAGAATAAAATATAAAATAAGGATTGTATTGGAATCAAAGTTTTGTCTTTTAGATATTTATTATATAAAAATATAAATATAGACATATAAAATTCATTACAATAATCTCTAGCAGCGTTTATAAGATTAAACTAAATGCTTGCAAATATCATTAATAGATTAACATACCCTCCTGAACATGTCAGCCTCTCTGTCATTATAAGATGGAGCAGCGTCTGTCTCCAAATCTCTCCTCTCTCTGTGTATTAACATTTAAAAGTACACCTATTTATGGTACACCTTAGGTGTCTTCATTTTAGGGTTTCCGTAGTTCATATACGAAAAAGTAACTTCCTTTACTTTTATTCATTTTAGGACCTCCCTTAACTTGGCAAAAATATAAGACCATAACTAAAGGATGTACACGTCACGGACAATTTCCTGACTTAGGTCAAGATGGCATCTTAAAGTCTGACCATCTTTATCTACTTAGGGTTACCACAGTATATTATGTACTGAAAGAGTCATAGCATAGCCTTGAAGCTTGTTTATGCATTATTGTTATTGTATTTCGTCTGGGACAAAATGGCGTAAACATATTATGCGCTGAAGGTAAGTAAGAGGTTATTGCTTAAAGAAACATGTATGAAAAACAATATGTTCCATTTCTAACACCTTGTCCCTTTGCAATTTCTCTTAAAGACAAAGTACACAGTTTGAGAAATACAATATTTGCATTTGCCCATAACACACTATTTTCAGCATAAATTCTCTGATCATTATTAAAATATAATTTCACCATCTCTATGATCAATGAGGTACAATAAATAAACCTTACTACAGATAAACCATACTACCCTCTCCCTTTTTATTTATTTATTTATTAATGGTACCAGGACCATGACAGAATAAGTCTGTGGCTGATTAATAAAATCAATATTTATTACCTAAGAGGACAGGCATAAATTCCAGCCACACATGTATCAAAGATTGAAGGGATCATTTCAGTGTAAAGAATAAGAAAATAGCAAAACACCAATAAATATGGATAATATACCATTTAACACTAACAAAACAAGGTACTATTTGTTTTTGTTTTGTTTTGGACTTTTAAAGAAAAAAATAACAACTCTGAGTTGGACCATACTCCCCTAATAGTATTTCTTTAGAGAGCTATCTTGTATACATGCATTCTGTTGCAAATGGAAGATTTCACATTCACATTCAGGATTACTCACTTTACAATTTGGAAGTGCGGATCCACGATTTGATTAGATATATGTTTATGTGGGGCACCTTTAATGTAAGATGCAATAAGTGCTTGTCCAGCAAAGTCTTTTATCATCCAAAATCACCAGGAGTGATAGCATGCAATGGTATCTTTGGCTGTACAGCATTCGACCCGTTTTAAAACACTAAAGCTTGCGTTATTGACATGCAGATATCACTCATTATTGTTTTAAGTCATAGACAACGGACAAGGACACATAACATACCTATCCATCGCAAAACATATAATTCATACTCAACAAACATTGCAATAAAATTCATGTTGTCATTCACCAAAACAGAAAACAAGAAAGTAGTAGATACTCACAGTGGACAATTGCCCACTGTCCAGTTGCCATTGCAAAAAGCACATTCATGGATACAAAGATAAATCACAACCAACCGGAAGTAGGTTAAAAAAATAAGTAAGTAATTTCTCACGCTAAAAGGAGTCCTAATGAGGATTTATACTTTTAATTAGAATTTTGATTCCACATTTTTGACTCCTCCCTTCTCTCCCCCACTTGTACTCCTTTTACTTTCTGTCACCCGTAATTCCCACTACCACCCATTTCTCATTGACCAGTATCTACCTTTTATATAACTTGTGGTGTCTCACACGTTTTCTCTACCCAGCTTTATCCTCTCTCCCCTCTAGTAGACATTAGGATATGCCAGATTTTATTTTAAGCATGATTTTAATTACATTTTTATGCAGGACTAACCACTTAGATGACATAAAATGAAACAACAGATGTTGAAAAAAGGAGAATTCAAAATTAAAGAAGGGATACTGTTTAGCAGGTTAACTATGCATGGACAACACCAAAAGTTATGGCGGTTGGCATTATTAACTATGCGATCTGTCTGCTTCTTAGCAAATAAACAACATTTGTCTCATGCTGTTAGGTGATTTTCCTACCCAGTGAGATGAAAATTTAAATTTAAGTGTTGCTGGTGAATAAAGATAGTAAAGAAAACAGACATATATCTCTCAGTAACGTGGAAGTAATATTCTGCACCTACTGCTTTCAGCTATCTTGGCACAATACTAAACACAACACTTGGTTTAAATGTAGCAAATTAAAATATCAATGCACCATCTGTTTAATTTAATTGAGAGATACTTCTAAGTATGTTTGTTCAGGTTTATTTGAGGTATGTCTATGTAAAAAGTTCTTATAAAAGATGCTGCAAATTAAAATTGTGATAATTACTTATGTTCACATTACTATTTTGTTTTAAGGTTGATGGTTATGTTTATATAATTTATGAAAATGAAATGGTATTTTTATGAACCCATTTATACAATGTATATATTTATTAAATATTTGGTACTAGACAAGTAAAAACGCAAAAATAAAATTACTTGATCGGGGGCGCAGCCTGCGCTCGAACGGCCTGAGCTCTGAGCTCCTCCGTCGATGACCACAAAAGCGGCAAATACAGTGCCTAAATCACCCCACAAAGCACCTCACTAACGGGGAACCCATCATGTCCCAGAGGGAGTCAAGAAAAACGGCTGATGCTAAAGACAAGCATTCCTTCTTCACGGCCAAACTAATAGGCGTCAGAACAACAACAGTGCAGACCCAAGATGGCGACGGCAGTGGAGATGACAGGGAAGGGTCTAACCCCAATCCCTACACGAGACTATGCACATACAGGGAGAAATCTTCCAACGCATGCTAGATGACATGGCAGCCAAGATTCAGTCCACTGTACACACGGCTGTCTCAGAGCTATGAAGAGACATGCTGGAGCTAGGAAACCGCACCGAGCAGATGGAAACAAAAATGTAGGAATTCACGGACGTGCACAACAGCTTTGCAGATAAAGTGGAGGAGATGGAGGCCAGGCTAGACAAACAAGAGCTGAAAGCCTTGAGGACAGGTCCCGGAGGCAAAATCTGAGGCTCAGGGGAATCCCAGAGGAGATCACATCCTCCAAGCAAATCACTGACCCAGGGGGGAGATATGCTATATGGCAATGCATAGTTAATGAGATGGAGTATACGATAGCCAATATCTACTCCCCCAATAGATACCTAAGGAATTTCCTACACAAAGTGCTCACTAAAATTGACCAGGTTAGAAAAGGCACCCTTCTTGTGTGTGGGGATTTCAATCATGTACTTGACCCGCGTCTCGGAGTCCACGAGACCTGAAGCTACAGCAAACTACCGCACACTCACAAAAGAAAGCAAGGCCATGCCCACTCTAATAACAGCACATGGGTTGAGGGACGTATGGAGGGTGCAACATCCAAGAGACAAAGAAGACACCCACCATTCCAAAGTGCACAACACATACTCAAGAATTGATGGGGTTCTGATGCATGACTCCTCCATGACCAGGGTGACCAGCTGCGACATTATCCCAACAAGCTGGTCAGACCACATGCCAGTAACCCTCACACTCATGAACAATTATGACTACAAACATAGAAGCCCATGGAAATTAAATGACAGCTTACTCCTAGACCCCCACTCCTGTAAACAGATAGAGACAGATATCCAACATTACTTCAACACAAACAAGGGGTCAGTACGGAACCCACACATGCTTTGTCTGGCACACAAAGCAGTAATGACAGGCACAATGATCAGCCGGGTGTCGTTCCTTAAGAAAAGGGTGTCGCAACAGCTTACTCAATGGCAAAGGGAACTAGGCCAGCCACATAGAGACAACCAGCTCAGACCCTCCACAACCCTAAGGACACAAATCACATCCCTCCAAACTTAGATTAAGGAACTACAGATGACCAAATTCGGACATATACTAAAGAAACTGAACGCGAACACATATGTACAGGGTAACAAAGCAAGTCGATTCATGGCGAGAAGGCTGAAAGACAGGCAAATGCAAACACGGATTGCACATATTACAAATAAAGTGGGCCAAAAAGAGTGCATGCCAAAACAGATTTGCAAGGCATTCACAGGATATTACAGTCAGCTGTACAACCTGAAAGTTAGCCATGATGTGTGCAACCCTTCGGAGGTGGGAATCGATGCATATCTTGCAGAGATCCCACTACCAAAACTAACAGAGCCACAAAGACAGGCACTAGCAGCACCCATTACAGACAAATAAATTATACAGTGTATTAAGACATTGCCCAAAGGGAAAGCTCCAGGCCCAGACGGATACACTGACACATATTACACGAAATTACAACAAGTACTGACTCCACAGCTGGCCATAGCCTTTAACCACACCCTGAAAACGGGGAGCTTCCCCCCTGACTTCCTAGCTGCAACAGTAATCAAGCTCCCAAAGCCAGGGAAACCTCCCACGCATTGTCGATCATTATATCAGACGATCAAGTAGGCTTTATACAGGGACGACAGGGACCAGACAATACCAGAAAATTAGTGGACATATTACATACTATACGCAGACACAATAGACAAGGGTTTCTGTCTGACCTGTTTAACATATCAAACGGTACAAGGCAGGGATGCCCCCTCTCCCTTCTCCTTTATGTACTGGCCCTAGAACCGCTAGCGGAGGATATCAGACAAAACCCTAATATACACGGAATACATATAGGCGACAAAGAATACAAGCTCAACCTATTCGCAGATGACGTTTTGCTGACTATCCCAACCCCACATTTCTCTCCCGAACCTCCAAAAAAGAAATAATGGCCTAAATTACACAATCATACTACAAATTAAATATCACCAAAACCCAAGAGATGGGCATAGGAATAGATGAGGCCACGACAAAAAGACTTAAACAGGCATTCCCCTTCGACTGGAGACAGGACTATCTGACATTTCTGGGAATTAAGCTGACAAAATCTCCAAACTCCCTGTTCAAACTGAACTATACCAAATTACAAACGGAAATAGTTACCATGTTAAAACACTGGGAAGGGAAATACCTGTCATGGGTGGGCAGGAGTGCGGCAGTCAAAATGATGATTCTACCCAAACTCCTGTACCTATTCCGCACTCTGCAAATTCCAATCCCAACACAATACATTAAATCTGTACAAACAACTCTGGTAAAGTTCTGCTGGCACAACAAGAATCCCAGGGTACCGTGGAGGCTCCTAACTCTCGGGGTACAAGAGGGAGGGATTGGTTTTCCCAACATTAGGGATTATATAGGGCAACACAACTGGCAAACATAATTTCATGCCACTCCAACAAATACACGCCACAATGGGTGGAACTGGAATCTCAAGGAAAAAATACAATACATCTGGCACATAGTATATGGATACCCAAAGATCTAAGGCCCCCATGCCATGACGCTGATGTTGGCCTTATGGGACAACAACAGAAACAAACTATGCTCAGACACAGGATGGTCCCCTGCGACCCCCCTGAAAGCTATATATGCTGTAAACCCTACGTAGTTTCCAGGACTTACAAACACAACTTCACCTCCCGAACACAGCCATCTTCTCATACCTTCAATTCCGACATACACTCAACTGCAAGGCAACCAACAGAGAACAAACCCTTCGCATGACACATATTACAAGGTTTGAGTTGATGTGCCTAAACGCGCTAATGCAGGAAAAAACTCTGTCCTTCTATTACAAATCACTAGGAGAGGTGGCACAGGAGCTGCTATGGCCATTCCAAAAAGCATGGCACCAAGATTTAGGGAAGGAATCAACGCCCCAAATGTAGAAACAAGCCTTCAGTGCATTTAGGAGCATGTTGCATTGTGCATCACACATGGAGACGTCTCGAAAGGTATTATAGGTGGTACCTGACACCAGACAAGGTAGCTAAAATGTTTAGCCTACCAGATAGTACATGTTGGAGATGCCGCTCAGACATAGGCACCACTCTACACATTTGGTGGACATGCCCCATGATAGCAGCATACTGGGGAAGAGTGGGACAGTTGTTGCAGACATGTACAAGGACCCAAAATATGCCAACAATAGAAAGCTACCTACTACACATAGGGCCCCCGGGCCAATCAAAAGGCACCCGTAAGCTTACATTTCTCATATTGATGGCCGCAGCAACGTTGATAGCGAGAAATTGGAAATCCACCATGAGACCATCAATAGATGAGCTTGTATCACTGACAACCATAATGGTTGAGTATGAGACCATAGCAGCAAGTCACTGGAAATCAGGGACAGTAAGTGCGGAAACCAGCGAGCTATGGCAGAGATACAAAACACAATACCTGAAAGACGCCAAGTAAGGGGACACTTCGCAAAACGGACCAGGCCTACTAGGATAAACCCCCACAAATCACACCAAGTGGCGAGAGTCACTTCAGGGCCACCATGCGAAAACAGTACACCGAATTGTTAGTTAGTTAGTTAGTTTGTTAGATTAGTTAGGGGCACAAATTTCATGCTGAATCAACCAAGTAACATGCATAGGACAGGACTCAAATGAAGAACATCAACACAAGTGTAAAATAGAATTCCACGTGGTTAGCAAAGAAGAGACGAGAGACATAGATAGCGTAACTAAATGCTTATTGCAATAGTGGAAGCAGTATGTGGAGTGAAATTGAATGTACATTAAGTCTGTTCTTGTTACATGAAACGAGCTATGTAAAAGTGATGTAAATTTTTTTTCCCTATCCTCATTTTCCTTTCTGTACCCCAATGTTATTGATTTGAAAAATATCAAAAAATAAAAATTGTAAATTTTCAAAAATAAAATTAAAAATAATTACTTTTTGTATTTTTTTTTTTTAAAGGAGGGTTTTGAAGTTTCCAATTTATATGGAAGGGGTGCAGAAGAGATCCCTGTTTTTGGTCAAACCAGTTCAAAACAGGACACTGGTGGTTGTAGGCTCATAACGCCATACTCATAAAACCAGTTATACTGGTTATGGACTTAAAATTCTCCTTCAAGGACAGTTAGTTGTACCATTTTTACACAAACAAAACATATTTGTGGGTGTACTTGATATTCAGTAAACTATGGGGTAACACTAAAAAAAACCTTTTGAATTTCCTTAATTTATTCATTAAGGAACCTGAGAATGTCCTGGATCAGCTGGGTTCACATTTAGTGGCCACAGACTGACAGATGAGATATGAACAGCACTTAAACTGAGCGCTGCACATAGCCCTTTAAAGCCTTTGAAATACCATGGCTGAGAAATTTCTCTCATCCGCTGTGTTTTTGACTATGCCTCCTGACTGCAGTATTAAGAAAAAGGTACTGGGTTCCCTCTGTCAGTTGCGGTCACAATTAGTCACACACAAAGTGACTGCATCAGATAGCCCTTTAAATTTATTTAAATACCACGGCAGAGCAATCACGCTCAGCCACGGTAATTTTAAACATGTCATTGAAAAGATCAGAGTGAGGTCTCCCTGCTTGCCCCATGCTCCTCGATCGCTGCTGGGCTTTTCCAGAGGAGAGGGGAGGGAAAGCTTTCAATGTATACATTTTGCTAGCATTCCTGCTAACACAATGTACAGATAGAAGTTGTAACTGATGTATTTCTGACAGTAATACATACACATATATATATATATATATATATATATATATTGGAAGGCATGGCCTGAAGTTGTGGGAGGGGCTATAGACCTACAAAAGGGACTCCCCCCTTTCCCTACTTACCTTTGTTGGTCAGATGAATAGCCCCACCCTCCACTCCCATTGTTCATATTTCCTCTATGTAAGTCCACTTTTTACCGGCCTACAGCATATGTCGGTT